ATGTACTTATGATACCATCGAAAAGTAGGCCTCTACGTAGGCTGTTTCATTTCAAGTTTTGCTTTAAGACAATTCAGTCGAATTGGAATATTGTCAGAATCAACCCATTATCATGTAATTCGCTTTAAAAAAAATTGTCAACTTTTTTCATATTAAAGAAAATAAAGAATAGCGTCAAAATATCCTCCACAGCAACTTAAATGTAAACGAAATAATGGAATTAGCACCATATACACCGAGAATATCACCTACTGAAGTCTATTTCAAGAATAATATGAAGTCGAAAGAAAATAAAAATAATGTTAAAAATCTTGACTAGGCGACAACTGTCTCTTATACACATCTAGATGTGTATAAGAGACAGATGGTTCCCTCGTGCGGTTGTGTTTACAAGCAACTTACCTTTTGATTTTAATTTCAAGAGATATTTCTCTTACCACGAGGTCTACTCTGCACTTAGGCGTAGATTTGACTATATTTTTGACGCTGTGTCGTCTGATATGCCTACTCTCAAGTACCTAATAAATGAATATTATAATTGAACACGTGACTCGAGTGATTTTCTGTACATTTGACGTACCATTTCCCAACCACTTCTTCACCCAAAACTTGCTTTGCATCGATTGGCTGGAACGCGCGTAAGCATTTGAGCCTCCTAATCCTTCCGAGCTATCTAGGAACTGGTCCCTTACCCGTTATGGCCCTTACAGTTTGTGACTGTAAGGGCCCTAACGGGAGGGGGCCAGTTCCAGATGGCGATTTTTATATATATCGGCCGAAGAAGTAACACACCTTAAGGGGTAAGAAACCAAATATCTACCTAGTAGAGGGCGGTATAACACCCCCTGGGGTAGGGAGAGGGGGGTGTAGTAAAGAACTAAGGACTAGGCAAAAAAGAACTGGCAAGAACCCCGGTTAAACGTCTGTCTCTTATACACATCTAGATGTGTATAAGAGACAGTGCCTCCTCGTTAAATTTTGCAATTTCAATGTAATGCTCCTCACATATCTATTCTGAACCTGTTGTGCGCACCACCCACCCTCCCCCCTTTTTTAAATTCTGGATCCACACCTGAGACCGGAGATACAATTTAAGATAAGAGGAAAAAATTAACAAATTGCTGGAATTGATGGTGATAAAAGTGCACTACAGGATAAGAAAATGCCCTACGTCATAATATCAAGCGACTGATATGATTGGGTGGTGGGGGGACATTTTCTATGGGTATTATAAGTACGTACATATGGTTCTACAAAATAACGTTTTTATCCCCAAACTTTAACGTTATTATAACGTTCTTAGAACGTATTATTGTTTGCTGGACCCCACCCCTTGCCCACCGCAACGCCACCATTGATGATAAATATTTAGACAAAATCAAGAAACTTTTGTAAAAAGGTTAGGCCTACTTGTATGAGTATGTTTGACATTGCCCACTGACAAAAAACAAAACGAGCACTACCACGACATTCGCCAAAGTAAACAGCGCCCCAAAAACAACGCACATTGAGAATCTGAAGAAAAAATATATTTAATTAACCATATAAAGTGATTTTCCCACAGAATGATGTATACACTGAAAGCGAGTGCGTAATCACTGCAACTCAGGAGGAAGTGGACAATAGCGGCCCATGGCCCAATTAAGGACTTTTGTATCTTTAATCAGTGAACGTAGCGCAAATCATGACGTTATCAAGTGAATGATACAACATAGTGGGTGTTAGCAGACTAAGCCTACTTTTAAAAGCTCATTGAAAATGTTCCATATCTCAAAATAAAAAAATATTATTTAAATTATTTATTAATTAAAATCGTGATTAGTTCACATACAGCATGAATAGAAAACCCCCAAAACCCAAATAATCATCGAAATATACTATTGTTTCACGTAAGTTTACATTTCGAAATAAACTAAAACCAACTGACGTAGTTTTGTAACCATGAGAGACACGATGTTGTGTTGCACCAATAGAATCCCCTCTAATCGCAGATTTTCTGTTACGGATGGAACGATTCTGCATCTTCTTGATCTGGCGTACTAGGCCTCCTTTAGACCTTAAGGAAACAAAATTAACATGAACGACTTTAACCTTTGTATCTCTTGTGGATTTTAAGACGATACGTTCCTTGACTTTTGCACAGCAATTTGTTTATAAATAGGCCTATATAGCTTACTCATATTTTTCTTATTTCAAGCAGTTCCTCAATGTTTGGTACAGTATGTTCATTCTTCATATCAAAATATTAACTATCGTATTGCTATAGACGGCGAATCAATAGAATTTGTCACATCCTGGGTAACTAAGATGCATAGGCCTATGCGTCTCCTATATCTTAATATCTGTCATAATGGGGTAGCAGCACCAGTACTTTTCAGTTTGCAATGAAATTAAATATAATTTACCGTATGGTCTACAATAAAAAATTAAGCCTACTTTCTTGTTATCGCATTTTATGCATTAATAATATCTAGGCCTTTAATCCTGTTTCCAGTTTTAGCAATACATATTCTCTTCCCCAGTCCTAATTTGCAAGATAAATGTGAAATAAAATCAATTCTAAATGTATAAGAGATAGGCCTACAGCCAAGATTTTTACTTACAGTAATGATAGATAGCACGTCAGTCCATCGATATGACTGACGATCAATGGAAGTTGAAAGAGGTGCTGGTATACCATGCAATAATATTTGAATAAGGCGATATTAAACGGAGAGCTCTTTTCTTTCAATGTAGGGTTGACATACCCGCAGATTTTGTATAAGCAAGACTAACTTAGGCAAGTTTTACTCTAGTATTTAGATATTGAAAAAAAAACCAGTCTTAATGATTGACTTCCTGTCAAGCAATAATCCTCATCATATTAAAACTGATGTTCATCGCCTTTATATCGTCAATAATCAATCATCACCATACGTCTATAAACTCCTCAAACTACCATACCATCAATCGCGCCCCAATTTGACCATCGAATTTTGTTTTTTCTCCCAGTAACGGGGAAAGAGTGGTTACTTTCAAATAAGAATGTTGATTGAAACCCCCATCTCTTTAAGGTAAAGGTAGGAGAATATAGGCCGGCCTACCTATAACTTGCGCAGTGTCATTGTGCGATGGGCGTAGTCCGTGACTACCCAGCAGCCGTAAAGAGGCGCTTCATTGTAGCTACATGTTCACATCCACATCATTCCACAACGGCAGGGGCTGAAATGAACCCCTACTCTTCCGAAAGATGCAATAGGTTCTTTAAAGTGCACACGAGCTGCCTTTCAACCACATCTCTGTTTCTGTAATAGATTCGATTACCTCTTTTACCACTGTTATATAATAATAATAATAATAATAATATGTCGCTCTTATATAGCGCATGCACAATGCCTCTAAGAATAAAATGTAACGTATACAGCGCATTGATTGGATCTGTCGATTGTATAAAGTGCTACAGTATATAATACAGTAGTGACATTATTATGACAGTTTCGAGAATGTGGACAGCTAAGCCTCCTTGAAGAGCCATGCTTTGGTCTTAAATTGAAGTGCAGGTTGGTGGTAAAGATGCTTGACTTCCAACCCAGGGCTCCGGGTTGAAATCCTGCAAACAACATATTTCCTCACGATTCTGAATAAATCTCCCAGTCTCATAATAAGACTTTAGTTTATGTAAAGCATCTGTATGTTTGCCTTGTAAAGAGGATTGTTACAAATATATGAAACATAACATTCGCTACTGGAAATCTTTGGCCTATGTGCCTATATGCAAAGGAGGAGGATAAGGCCAAATAAAATAAATTGTTTGTTTGCCCTCCTTTTTTAAAAAAATGATAAATAGGGGCAGGTGGAAAAAGTTTATTTATTTATTTACTTTTTTAAAATACTCATCAGATGGAATAAAAATAACCCACAGAGGCCTTGAATGGAATCTACATCAAACAACAACTTTAGACTAATTTGTAGGGCATCTGGCAAAAAATAAAGATAAATTCACTCGCTTTTTTTTTAATTTGTAAAGAAAAAAAGCTAAAAAAAAAAGTTTTTTTTGTTTGTTTTTCCTCCCCTACTTTCTTTCAGTGAGTTAGGGGGGAGGGGGGGTTTGGCCTAACAATGAGATACAATACATAAACAATTGATATCATTTTACAAATTTGTTTTTAATCTCAAATTAAATATAATAGAAACAATATATTTTAAAGTACAAAATGTATATTGGAAATTTAACAGAATCAAAATATATTCATTTCAAAATTTATATAAGAAATTTTATACAAAATTTAAACTCTTTTTAAAAAATATGCATCCTTAAAGTATTCCAATTACTTTTGTAATTCTTACAATTAATAAGCCAATCATTAATTATTCTATGCCTGCTGAAATATAAACATCCTGAGTAATTGACTGAAATGCACTGACAGTCTTTATATGCAACAGTACACCAGAATGTTTACATATTTACAGTATCTGTATATATTAAAATATATAGACTACACATTCAGGCAACAATGTTAGGACTGTCTCTTATACACATCTAGATGTGTATAAGAGGCAGGGGAAAGAGTGGTTACTTTCAAATAAGAATGTTGATTGAAACCCCCATCTCTTTAAGGCTGTCTCTTATACACAAATTGCCTGTACGTTAATTTATAAAAGGATGCACGATTTTGAACTGGATAAACTGTTGTTAGTTCCTCAAGATTTGAAACAAATACCTACAGTACATTTTAATCAAAAACTTTCTATGCATATAAAGCAGTAGTATATTTCAGTCGTCTAAAATGATGATACTCCATGTGTGTGCGCTGAACAATAAAAATCCTAGTCTCTGGTTCCAGAGGTGGAAGGTAATGAGGCACTCAATAGGAAGAGGGAAAACAACCCTGACGGTGTTAAAATATTCCCTACAAGAGCCTAAGTGGGTTTGACTAGGGCCTTCCCGATCTAGAGGATGTAACTAATCCTAACACATGGAAAAGGCACTTTGAAGAGTGCATTATTTCTGTTAGAATAACATAAACAAAAAGTTAGGTTATTACCTTTGAAATATAACTTCTAACCCAAGGCTTGTCTGATAAGAAATCAAAGAGTGAGAAAGGCTGTTTACGTACAACACTAAAGCCAACCCAGTAACCGCCATTACTACTGGCTCGAATGTTGTCCGGCAGTCCTGGTAAATTCTCAACAAAGCTTACAACTTGGCCCTTCATGGTTCCCTTTAGAAACAACCTGAAACACAAATAATTTTAAAAATTTTATTCTTACTTTTGTTCATTTGTTTGTTCCTTGCTTAAGGACATTTTTCAATAATCTGTTTAATTATTTAATTGATTTAATAAAAAGAACAAATTACAGATATAGCCTACTGTAGCCTCACATGAACTGATTTTCATTTTCAACAGATTTCAAATTAGATAACATGAATATTAATAATAATGATAATAATAATATAAAATATTGAGATTAGATATATAATCCATTCTTTCTTCCTATTGTTTTAACTCTTCAAAATATTTTCATTTAAAAGTTAAAAACACTTATTTCCTTCAAACTTACAAATTTATTCTTGCATATGTTGTTTCACAAAAAAGAAGGAAGTCTTCATTGGGAGACAATTGCACTCCATTTGGAAAAGCTAGATCATCAAGAACAACCTCGGTGCGGTCTGTACTAGGATTATACTTAAAAATCCTTCCTGTTGCAGACCCCTCAACTCCCAAGTAGGCATAATCCCGTCGGTGCCACTGGGAACTGGAGTCACTGAAGTACACCACGCCCTCAGAAGTTACATCAAGGTCATTGACAAATTGCATATGTTCCCCTATATATTGATCATTGTACTTGGAAAGATGTTGTGCAGTACCTGAGAAGAAAGATGATGAAAAATTAAAAGGAGGAAGTTAAAATTCACCAGGATATAATTAGTAATGATGCTTATGGGCATAGGCTGGTCTCTTATACACATCTAGGGGGGGGGGGGATGCAGGCACACCTTCCCATGGCAGCAAATTAGTTCCACTTAGTGAGTTAAAATACTAAAAATTTTTTATTTTCATTGGAATAGAAATTTAGTTTTGCTTTCAATTTTTGCACCCCCAGTTCTACATTCTCATTTTTTGCACTCTCAAGATGAAACCAGCCTACGCCCCTGATGATATTGAATATAGGAATTGGATTGTTTGTCTGTTAGTTGTTGTATATTTTGGGTCTGCGAACAGGGGAATCTGAGAACCTCACTGCTGTTCTTGTTCTTGTTATTACCAAATTTTAAAAGCATCCAGCGTCGTCAATTTTGAATGGACGTGCAAGAAATTTTGCACATAACCTAGGTTATTTCCAGCAAACGTTCATAGCCCCTACCCCTACAAAACAAGGACTTTAAATTACTGCAATTACCACTCATAGGACATGTCACATGGATGGCGATGTGTTCTAAGGAACTAAAGGTTGTGAGTTTGAATCACATTTTGTTATTCAATTTCAAACTTTTTTTTTCACATTTTATTCTATTTTTATTTATTATTTTTCTGTTAGTGGTAGAAATTATTGACAATTATGAACTGCCAAAATGAAATTGCTGAAAACCCAATTATGCCACTGTGTACTGTACTTAAACATGGAGGATATTTCCTCCATGATTTAAGCATGTTTTGATAATGTCAAAGAAAAAACCTTGTGTGAAAGGCATACACGAAGTGTTAAACGCTGAACTTCAGTTCAACACGCGGACTGGTGAACAATCGCTCTTGTTATTCTCTGTTGAAGCATCTGAAAATGTTTATGTGTACCAAGTTGTGCACACTGACAAATAAATATATATTGTATATCTTGTATGCTCTGAAATCTCTTATACCTGAAGTTAAGTTAATCTTATACAATCCAGAATAAGCCTCTATTATATACAAGGATGATCCACTCTTGTCGAACCGTAGTCCTAGAGGGTGTCCACACAGATGTTCTATGGCTGGGATACCTGGGAAAATAGTTTTCTGAATGTTTAAATAATACTCAAGAGACAAAAGGCAATGACCTATAAAACAGGAACTGGGAAAGCAAAGAGATCAAGAAGGAATGGAAACAGAGGACAGAGTAGGGTGTTTGGAATGGAAGATCAAGTGTTGGTCTCATAAGACAGTAGTAAACCAATTATTTAATGCCTTGTCCAGACTATCAAATTTTATTTGACAAAAACATTTGTGACATGCCTAAATGCGAGGTCTCACTCATAGGCGTAGATTCCGGGGGATGGGGGATATATCCCCCAATATTTGACAAGGGGGAAGATGGTCCATTGTATCATCCCCCCAATATTTTGACTATGTATGGGATAAAATGGAGCTTTACACACTTTAAAAGACTGTCACAAAAATAATTTGCACTGTCTTATGCGCTTACAAAGATGAAAATTTGCATAATGTATTAATGTTGATAACAAAAATTATTTTATCTGGTATTTTATCTAAGCTCTTCTTTCTTTAAATGTTAGATGTGCTTGCAAAGAGAGCCACATTTCACACTGAAGGGTGTGTACATCAGTAATGTTATGTCAATTACAAGAATGTTTAAGGTTATATCGGTTGATGAGGAATTTATTGATTAGGCCTATAATAGCAAATTGCATCAATTCATTTTGCAAAAACAAGGTTTCCAGCTTCAGAGGGGGGCATATCTCCTGTCCGCACAAGGGCACACATTGGCGCTAATACCAGGCGCGTAACAGGGGTCTTGGGTCAGAGTGGGTATTTATTTTTTTTATTATTTTTTTTATTTCAACCATCTTTAAAGAGGGTAACCCTTCTAGTTTAGCCCAGTAGGTTAACTGATATTCAGGGGCCCTCTTTAATCAAATTAAAGAACAGTACAAACAACATCATTACAACATAATAATAATAATAATAATAATAATAA